GCTGTGTTGTTCTTCCTTTCTTAGCTCGATGAATGAGCGTCTTGATCAGAGCAGATTTCTGTGCGGGGTGATGGTGTGACTCTGCATTCAGATTAGCGTCAGTATGCGTTTTCTTACGGTAAACGCTGCGTGTTATTTTACCATTTCGACCCCGTCCGAGTAGAATATGCAGAAATGGTAGAGCTTCCACTTCCATGGTGATCAAAGGGCTCGCATAATGCGCATGCATGATGTGTGTTGACTCATTAACCCCCCCCCCCCCCACTTCGCGCAAGAGTGTAGAAGTGTGATCACCACGTCATCTACGCCTCTGTATAAGGAACGAAACAGGTGGACTTCTCCAAACATCTGGCTGTCGCCTGATGAAGCTGGTTATAATTACTGGCGAAACGTCGTACTCAGATTGTAAATGTCCTGGCTTGGCTCTCCAACACACCGGTGTGCTGTACTAGTATACTACACTATACACTACACTATACACTACACTATACACTACACTACATACTAGTGCTGTACTAGTATACTACACTATACACTACACTACATACTACACTATACACTACACTATACACTACACTTTACACTACACGATACACTACACTATACACTACATACTAGTGCTGTACTAGTATACTACACTATATACTACACTACACACTACACTACATACTAGTGTTGTACTAGTATGCTACACTATATACTACACTATACACTACACTACATACTAGTGCTGTACTAGTATGCTACACTATACACTACACTATATACTACACTATACACTATACTACATACTAGTGCTGTACTAGTATACTACACTATATACTACACTATACACTACACTATACACTACACTACACACTAGTGCTGTACTAGTTTATTACACTATACACTACACTATACACTACACTACAGACTAGTGCTGCACTAGTGACGAATTAGCATGTTCTGTTTACGTGACAACCCTTACTAGTTGGCTGTGTCGTGTGGTGGCGGGTTTAACGGCACATTTATTTACGTGATCTAACCCAAAAAACCCTTCTATTATGGATGATATCGGTCGTGTTAAACCGAGCAGAACGTACACTCCGCAGTCTCCAGAATATAGGACGCACTTTTTGTGCCTGCATATTAAAACAAAAGTTGGGTGCACGTCTTATAACCCGGTAGATGTATGCTGAACTTCTTTCGCACCGTACTTTGCCAACAGTTCGAATTTGATGAGTAAAGCTTTATTGGGGTCGTCTTATAATCCGGTAGCTTTGTGTGACCAGATTAGTACTCGTTGGGTGCGTCTTATAATCGGGTCGCCGCGTGCGTAAGGCCACATTTGTCTTTATTGAAACTGGGCACATGTGTGGAGGTGCGTCTCATTTTCTGGAGCGTTTTATAATCTGGAAAATGCGGTAATTGTATGAATTATTAAGAAAAGTGCTGTACATATACAGTATATCTTAAATATATACACACGTATACCGAATCATATCTGTCCGCTTTTTTTGGGAAACAAATTAAAATGAACTTCTCGTAAAAAGCGAAGCCCCGCCAGAAATTGAGCAAATGTTAGCTCCCCAGGCCTACGAGAAGATGATTACAACACCCCACAGTGTGCACGCGGGGAGTAGTAGCGCAGTGGTTAGCGCATTGCGCTATGGCCCGGGCTACCCGAGTTTTTGATTCCTGGCCACGGCGAACATCAGTGGCTTGCGAGTGAAATCTGAACCCGGATCTTTGGGCCCTAAACTCAGCCTTTTACTCCCGTGGTGACGTCTGCTTAAACAAGCCATTATTATTATTTTGGTTCTATAATGGACGTTGAGTAAATAGCTTCGTATAATGGCAGTTATAAGAATATATTAAACATAATTACGTGGACTGTGAAATGTCACAAACCCTACACCGAGCCACGTGTTTTGAGTGGCCAGTGTCTGCTACGTACAGTATCAGTGAGTCAAATTTAACACGGAAAACTCATTACTCTATATCTATATCATATACTCCATTGGAATATGTCTGCGTAGCGAATCGCTTTATGTAGAGACTCCCCCCCTTCAAGAGGAATGTGGAATGAGTAGTCACTCATGATGGGGCACTAATGCAAGCTACTCGGAGATTGGGAATAGGAGGAGGTAGAGTGACAGGTGGGGCACGTGGGTGTGCAGGACAGGCAATGGCGTGAGATGCCGAGTTCGGCGACCCTAGGTCATCGATGAGACGAACTAAAGAACCCAGACCGGTGGCGAGAGCGCAAGCGGCTACGGCTCTCTGATGATCACTCGAAGCGCGAACCCCAAGCGCGCGAGACCTCCATTTCTCGGAACAATGTTTGCAAGCCTCTGCCCCACGTCGACTGCGCCACAGGAAGTGTCGGTTGGGCCCCGCGGTTCCCTCCCAGTCGCGCTGCGTTCCGCCGCGTCCTCGGCTGCCACGTGAGCCGCTCGGCCATGGGGCGGCTGAGCCAAGAACCCCACAAGATCCCCCGAAAACCTCCCCCCCCCCTCGCTCCTACAGCGCGCAAACAGCACTGTTGCAGGTGTATTAAGCAAGGGGCACGAAATGCGTTTCTTGAATTGAGCGAGGTGATGGTTGCACGAGTTTTGGTTTAAAAAAAGAGAGGTCGACGATGATGATTACGATGATGGGAACGGGAATTCTCAAAAGCGGAGCAGTGGTGGTGGATGAGCTGAAACAGTCTGAGTCTGGTAGAAGCCTACAGTCTGAGTCTGGTAGAAGCCTACAGTCTGAGTCTGGTAGAAGCCTACAGTCTGAGTCTGGTAGAAGCCTACAGTCTGAGTCTGGTAGAAGCCTACAGACTGAGTCTGGTAGAAGCCTACAGACTGAGTCTGGTAGAAGCCTACAGTCTGAGTCTGGTAGAAGCCTACAGACTGAGTCTGGTAGAAGCCTATACAGTCTGAGTGGTAGAAGCCTACAGTCTGAGTCTGGTAGAAGCCTACAGTCTGAGTCTGGTAGAAGCCTACAGACTGAGTCTGGTAGAAGCCTACAGTCTGAGTCTGGTAGAAGCCTACAGTCTTGAGTCTGGTAGAAGCCTACAGTCTGAGTCTGGTAGAAGCCCACAGTCTGAGTCTGGTAGAAGCCTACAGTCTGAGTCTGGTAGAAGCCTACAGTCTGAGTCTGGTAGAAGCCTACAGTCTGAGTCTGGTAGAAGCCCACAGTCTGAGTCTGGTAGAAGCCTACAGTCTGAGTCTGGTAGAAGCCTACAGACTGAGTCTGGTAGAAGCCGAGTCCTTGACACGACTGGAGGAATCAAGGAGTGAAGCTCACTGGAACATGAACCGTGGTAGCAGTAGTCGTAGCAGTAGCAACAGCAGCGATAGAAGAGCGGTAAGAGAACCATGGTCTGGCTACGGCGAGAGGAATGCCTCCGCAAGCTGTCGACTGATTTAGGTAACTCGCACACCCGTGTGCAGCAATAATAGCCCGGGTCGGGTTGTCAACCCGCGATCGTTCGTGTGAGCCCCGTCTCGCACGCGCTGCGCAACACGCAGCTCGCGAAGGCGCCCACAGAGCGAGGAGTTTTCAATCAATCAATGACGAGTGTTTACTATTCCTATTACACGTGTCGGGGAAGACAACTCACGCGTGCGAGGGGACAACACTCTATCCCAGTACAGAAGGCACAGATGGGAGTTCAAATCATGCGCACGTGTGATTGTGCCAAGCCGGTCACGGTGATGATTTGCCCATACTTCACCACGCTGGTTAGTGCGGGTTGCTGTAGTCGAGGTGGGCCACATGTTTGTTTCGAATAGAACGCCACTGCCCATGGCAGTGTGCTAACCGCTGCATCACCGCTCTGCTTATTTAATTTCCATTACACATTTGTTTAATTTAATCTCGTTTTCCGTGTAGCTGTTGAGTTTTTTTGTTGCATTTTGTGTTTTAGCTTACGTTTAAATTAGGTTCGCTCCGCTGTTCATAATGCCGACGACTTGTAATTGTCATTTATATACTCGACAAATCACTTATTATAGGTACGCCTACAGATATCCCCGTAAGGCTATGACTCTCTCTGTCAATATCTGAGTTATTATGTAAATCTATGGATCTTCGTGTGCATCTATGGGTCTCTACATAAGTATGTGGGTCTCTATGTGATTATATGCAAGACTCCGGGTCTCCATGGAAGCCCGCGAGACTTTATAAACGCCCAGGGTCTCCTTTGAAGATAATTGTAGTGTACGTGGCTCTCAATCGGTTTAAATCTGGTTTGGTTTGGTTCAGAGATCTGCTTTGGTTTGGTCCAGAGATTTGGTTTGATTTGGTCTGGAGATCTGGTTTGATTTGGTCCAGATATCTGGTTTGATTTGGTCTGGAGATCTGGTTTGGTTTGTTCCAAATATCTAGTTTGATTTGGTCTGGAGATCTGGTTTGATTTGGTCTGGAGATCTGGTTTGGTTTGATCCAGATATCTGGTTTGATTTGGTCTGGAGATCTGGTTTTGGTTTGGTCCAGATATCTAGTTTGATTTGGTCTGGAGATCTGGTTTGTTTTGGTCTGGAGATCTGGTTTGGTTTGGTCCAGAGATCTGGTTTGGTTTGGAGATCTGGTTTGGTTTGGTCCAGAGATCTGGTTTGGTTTGGTCTGAAGATCGGGTTTGGTTTGGTCCAGAGATCTGGTTTGGTTTGGTCTGAAGATATGGTTTGGTTTGTGCCAGAGATCTGGTTTGGTTTGCTACTGACATCTGGTTTGGTTTTGGACTAGAGATTTGTTTTTTGGATTGGGCAGCAGTTTCCGTTGTTGGGTTGGACATCTGTGCTAGCTATGGGGCCGTGTTAGCTATGGGGTTAGGCAGCTGGGCTGCAAGGTGAGCGCGTGGTTAGCTTCACGGAAGTATGGACATCTGCTTCCTTTCACTGCACCATGTGACACAGGGAGGCGATAAGATGGGCTTGTGGTGAGGGTGGTGGTGAGGTGGGTCTTAGTGGTGAGAGTGGTTGTGAGGAGGGAGGGTGATAGTGGTGAGGGTGGTGGTAAGGTGGGATGGGTGATAGTAGTGAGCGCACGCCATTTCCACCATACCTCCTCTCACGATAGCTGTGGCTACGTGTCGCGTGCCACTCACTCCGGTCTCGCACACACCCAGGGGAATGCACAGCGAGACATGAAAACCTCGCAACGCGGAGCCGTGATGGGAACGTTACAGACGGAGAGAGCGAGAGAACGCGAGAGAGAGAGCGCCTGGCGCGCTCTCAGCTCGCTGGGACACCTCGTCTGTCAGCCGGGGGTTCTGGAGACTTCTCGACTGCGTACCCGATGCAGGCATTGCAGCTGCGTGAGCCGCGGCCCTTCGCCCATTTCCCCTTTCGACATCGGGGGGGCGGTGGGGGTGTAAACGCCAACCCCAGCCGCAAGCCAAGATCGCATTCTCTCACTCGCTTCCAACTTTTATAGATAATTTTGGTCGCGAAAGTCTTAAGTGTTAAACGCGCAACTTTCCTCAGGCGGTCCAGGACCAGGCCAGGCAGTCGAGATTTAGAATCTTAGGGTCGTAGGGGAACTCTCACCACCACCACCATCGCGGCCCTGGGTGTCTGGGAGCAGCTCGCGGCGGTCTGAGAGAGAAGCGCGGTCGATGTTGAATTCAGTCCGCGACGAGGTGCGAGGCCGCGCGGAGAATTGGATCGGCGCATCGTCGATGTGGTGAGATGTTAACTCCCTCGCCTGGTGTGCAGGGAGTTCGTGGCTTCGACCCCGACCCTGATGCCTGTTGTGTATTTGGTGTTTGCGTTTTCTCTCCCTGTGGTCGTGTGGATTTTTCTCCGTGTCCTCCGTTTTTTTTCCCTCCAAATTTAGAAACACGCGTTTTAGAGTATTTGTCTGCTATAAATGTCCACGTGACGACAAGCCACTTCGTTGAGCTATCATTTGTGGCCAGGTCGCTTCTGAAAAAGAGCGATAATAGCTCAGTGGGCCTTACCTGGTCAAATAAAAATAGTAAAAAGCAATCGACATCGTCGGTGTAAACGTGATAAACTCGTCAGATGGTGGAGGGTTCATGACTTGGAATTTTGGCCTGAAGATTAAAAACCACGACCGCCGCCGTGTGGCCCTGACGCAGCGACGAGGTTCGAGGAGCTGTGCGCCACCACGGCATGGGACCAGCGCGGCCACTCGAGGGAACGAACAATCGAGAGAAGCGCGCTGAGACGCACGCTTGGCGAGTCGGAGAGAGAGGAGTGGGGGGGGGGAGCACGTGCGCTAGGGAACGCACCGCAGGTTCGAGGCATCATCCACACCCTGACGGGGAGTGAGAGGGGCGTGGGCAGCAGGACGCGCGTCGCGGCCAGGAGGGACGGTGGTGGCCGATGGTCGAGACGAAGTTTGTGCTGATGATGATGATAATAATACTACTTCTGCTGTTGATGATCCTGATGACAATGTTGCTAATGCTTTTGCTTCCGGTGGTGTTCATGTTGAAGACGATAATTTTGCTGCTGATGATGATGCTAGCGTTAATGACGATGCTGCTATTCATGATGGATGTATTGCTACTGCTGCTGATGATGGTGATTCTGCTCTGCTTGTACAGATGCCTGCGTCTGCTTGGAATGAATCGTGATCACGGGAATCGCCCAACCTCTTCGGTGCCCCACGGAGATCGACTCGATTAGAGAGAAGAGAAGGAGGTGGAGGAGCAGGAGAGGATGGTGATGAGTGGAGACACACGCAGACTCGCCTGACGCCAAGAGACTCGGGAACAGAGGAGACAGATAGGATATTTGATACCAAGACATCACAGACTCATAGACAAGAAGATTCTGGCACGAGAAGATTCCGAGACTCGGGTGCGAGAGACAAAGCCAACTTGTGAGAGGGACTCCGACAACTCCGACTCTCCGCCACTGGGACACGGAGCGCACACGCACACAGGGACTCGCGCAACTCAGAGAACGCCCGTACAGGGGGGTGGGTGACGGTGTCGCTGTCGCTCGCTAGCGGGTGAGAGCCATGGACGCGAGCGGGGAGCCGCTGCCCTACTACTTTGGCCACGTGGGCCGCGACGAGGCCGAGGGCCACCTGCGCGCCACCGGCTTCGTCGAGGGCCTCTTCCTGCTGCGCAAGAGCACGAGCACGGTGGGCGGCCTGGTGCTGTCCGTGGTGTGCAGGGGCCGCGTGCACCACTACGAGGTGGAGCCGCGGCCCTACGACACGGGTCCAGGTAACGCGCGGCACGCTGGGCGCACGCGGGTACACACACATGGGTACACACACACGGGTACACAACAACAACAACCGCCATTCGCCACTAAGTGGCGGTGACGTCACCACGACGCTTGTGCCAGGCCATGTGCACCTTGAGGCCAAGTGAAGTGTCGAACGCCTGCTGGCAAGAGGTCACGGGGCAGACCCAAGTGCCACTGGTCGATTTACTAAGATCACTGAGATGGCTGGCTGATGCACCACTTGTGCCCCCTACTGTGCCACCCTGCTGTGCTTTAGCCACCCGGGGCTCCGCTCGTTGTTGGAGGGCGACTGCCTCCAACTGCCCAGTAGCATTCTTCACGAGCCTCCTCCACAGAGGCCGATTTTGACACCGCTGGTACCAGTCATCGGCAAGTCCACTCAGCTCCACGTCCTCCTGTACCACATCACTCCATTTCTTCTCTAGCCCGTGCCGCGCCCGTTTAGCCCCCTCGATCCGGCCGAACAAAAGCTGTTTCGGCATGCAGTGGCTGGGCATGCGGGCTACATGACTCAGCCAACGCAGCCTTGCCTGCCGGAGGAGCTCACCGATGGGACCTTGCCCAGATCTTTCAAGGATTTGTGAACTCCTCACACAATCCAGCCTGGTTAAACCTAGGATGGATCGTAGGCAGGCTAGCCTAAATGTTTCTAACTGGCAAAGATGTTCCATTAGGGGGGTCCACGTTTCGCAAGCGTAGAGAAGGGAGGGAATGACCATGGCCGAGAAGACCTGAACCTTAGTGTGGAGCGACAGACCAGGTAGCTTCCACACAGCGTTACGCAACCGATGAAAAGATATTGCCGCTCGAATGATTCGGACTGAGACCTCTGCTGTTAAAACTGGAGCCGGTCATAAGCACACTGCCCAGGTATGGGAAACTCTCCACTCTCTCCACAACTGCCCCATCACCGATTGGGAGTTGTGGGGGTGGAATGTCCAATGGTACAAAATACCCAGGCAGGTGCTTAGTTTTGGTGGGGCTGATGGTAAGGCTCCATCTCTTAGTGGCACGCTCCAGTCTCAGCAGCAGCGTCTCCAACTCCTCCTCTGAATGAGCAGCTATTACCAAATCATCGGCATACATAACGTGGTTGAGCAATAGGGAGCCATCCCTTGACCGCACCCGGGCATCGATCAGCCTCCCATTATATCTGTACCAAATGGAGATTCCCCCGGTACAGCTATTGAAGGCTTCACGAACTACATGGTCAAAATAGATGTTAAATAATGTGGGAGCCAGAGGACATCCCTGTCGCACCCCAAGGTGTACAGGGAATGGCTTTGACTCCCGGCCACGTAGTTTTACCCGGGCCTGCTCACCATCATGAAGGTCCTTAATAATCGTGAGCAGAGGGTCAGGAACTCCAAAAGCACGACGAACAACCCAGAGCCCAGGCCTACTGATGGTATCATAGGCCTTGACCAGGTCAATAAAGCAGAGATGTAGGTCTTGCTGGAATTCCCTACACCTCTGCTGTAGCAGACGGACAGAAAATATGGAATCTGTGCAGAACCGCCCTTTCCTGAAACCGCAGTGGGACTCCGCAAGCCTCTCCTCAGCGTGCCTGGCAAGGCGATGTTGAATAATCCTTGCCAGGACCTTTCCCGGTACACTGAGGAGTGAGATGCCCCTGTAGTTGTTACAGTCTGTGCGGTAGCACTTCTTAAAGAGGGGGACCACCAGGGCATCTTTCCAATCCTGTGGAACCCGTCCAGTGGTCCAGACACACACACGGGTACACACACATACGGGTACACGCACATGGGTACACACACGGGTACACACACACACGGGTACACGCACATGGGTACACACACACGGGTACACACGCACATGGGTACACACACACACGGGTACACACACGGGTACACACACACACACGGGTACAAGCACACGACTGCTTACACGTAAATACTAGTACACATGCAGATACACGCCCACTCACACACACACACAGATTTAGAGAGGTACATGCACAGCAGATACACACCCACCACCCCTACCACCCCTACCAACACCACCACCAAAAGCACCAAAACCATTGCGCGCTCAATGGTGGTGGTGTTTTTGGTGGGGTTGGTGGCGCAGGTCTGGAAGGGCGCGGGTACGGGATCGACGGGGGGCGCACGCACGCGGGTCCTGCCGAGCTGTGCGCGCACCACGAGCAGGGCGCCGACGGGCTGTGCTGTCCCCTCGTGGTGCCCTGCCACCGCCCCGACGGGACCCCCCCGCGCAGCGGATACTTCGAGGACGTCAAGGACCAGACGATCCGAGACTACGTGCGCAAGAAGTACCACGTGGAGGTGACACCACCACTACGCCACGCCTGTTACCACGAGCACCACCACATCACCACCACCACACCACGCCTGTTACCACGGCCACCACACCACCACTACACCACGCCTGTTACCACGAGCACCACCACATCACCACCACACCACCACCACACCACGCCTGTTACCACGGCCACCACCACATCACCACTACACCACGCCTGTTACCACGAGCACCACCACATCACCACCACACGACCACCACACCACGCCTGTTACCACGAGCACCACCACATCACCACCACACCACGCCTGTTACCACGAGCACCACCACATCACCACCACACCACGCCTGTTACCACGGCCACCACCACATCACCACTACACCACGCCTGTTATCACGAGCACCACCACATCACCACTACACCACGCCTGTTACCACGAGCACCACCACATCACCACTACACCACGCCTGTTACCACGAGCACCACCACATCACCACCACCACACCACGCCTGTTACCACGAGCACCACCACATCACCACCACACCACCACCACACCACGCCTGTTACCACGGCCACCACCACATCACCACTACACCACGCCTGTTACCACTAGCACCACCACATCACCACCACACCACGCCTGTTACCACGAGCACCACCACACCACCACTACACCACGCCTGTTACCACGAGCACCACCACATCACCACTACACCACGCCTGTTACCACGAGCACCACCACATCACCACCCCACCACCACTACACCACGCCTGTTACCACGAGTACCACCACATCACCACTACACCACGCCTGTTACCACGAGCACCACCACATCACCACCCCACCACCACCACACCACGCCAGTTACCACGGCCACCACCACATCACCACTACACCACGCCTGTTACCACGAGCACCACCACATCACCACCACACCACGCCTGTTACCACGAGCACCACCACATCACCACCACACCACCACCACACCACGCCTGTTACCACGAGCACCACCACATCACCACCACTACACCACGCCTGTTACCACGAGCACCACCACATCACCACCACACCACCACCACACCTGTTACCACGAGCACCACCACATCACCACTACACCACGCCTGTTACCACGAGCACCACCACATCACCACTACACCACGCCTGTTACCACGAGCACCACCACATCACCACCACACCACGCCTGTTACCACGGCCACCACCACATCACCACCACACCACGCCTGTTACCACGAGCACCACCACATCACCACTACACCACGCCTGTTACCACGAGCACCACCACATCACCACTACACCACGCCTGTTACCACGAGCACCACCACATCACCACTACACCACGCCTGTTACCACGGCCACCACAACATCACCACTACACCACGCCTGTTATCACGGCCACCACCACATCACCACCACACCACGCCTGTTACCACGGCCACCACCACATCACCAATACACCACGCCTGTTACCACGGCCACCACCACATCACTACTACACCACGCCTGTTACCACATCACCACCACACCACCACCACACCACGCCTGTTACCACGGCCACCACCACATCACCACTACACTACGCCTGTTACCACGAGCACCACCACATCACCACTACACCACGCCTGTTACCACGAGCACCACCACATCACCACTACACCACGCCTGTTACCACGGCCACCACAACATCACCACTACACCACGCCTGTTATCACGGCCACCACCACATCACCACCACACCACGCCTGTTACCACGGCCACCACCACATCACCAATACACCACGCCTGTTACCACGGCCACCACATCACCACTACACCACGCCTGTTACCACGAGCACCACCACATCACCGCTACACCACGCCTGTTACCACGAGCACCACCACATCACCACCACACCACCACCACACCACGCCTGTTACCACGGCCACCACCACATCACCACTACACCACGCCTGTTACCACGAGCACCACCACATCACCACTACACCACGCCTGTTATCACGGCCACCACCACATCACCACCACACCACGCCTGTTACCACGGCCACCACCACATCACCAATACACCACGCCTGTTACCACGGCCACCACCACATCACCACTACACCACGCCTGCTACCACGAGCACCACCACATCACCACTACACCACGCCTGTTACCACGAGCACCACCACATCACCACTACACCACGGCCTCCGTCTCTCCTGATATCATAACAGAGACATTAGTGCAGGCCGGAGACCAAACAGAGGAGCTCTCTCAGTCAGAAGCCACGCAGCAGAGTGGCACGCGCACACTCACGGGTGCCGGGTGCAAGCGTGACGGTCCCGTCGGGTAGTGGAGGGCTCATGACAGGGCCCATATCGACAGCCGCGTGGCACCGGACCCAAAAACAAACGTGGCTTGAGGACCAACCCTGGCCACGCAGTTGGGCCTGACACAACAATGCCCATGGTACAGTTCTCATGAACTGGTGATCTGCGTAAGGCCGAGAGTTTCTGCGCAGTCAATGCACCTCTCTGAACAACGCTAAACTGCGCCGCTCTCTGGTTCTTTCTCCGCGTGCGGTGCGTGCGGTGTGGCGCGGTGCGTGCACTGTGGTGCGGTGCGCGCGTGCGGTCCGGTGCGTGCGGTGCATGGGGTGCGGTTGCGTGCAGGGTGCGGAGGCAGACGCCCTGATCATGAGGCAGAGGCCCGACCTGGAGAAGGAGGTGGCATCGTCTCTGCACGAGAAGCTGCCCTGGTTCCACGGCTCCATCTCCCGCAAGACGTCCGAGGAGCGACTCCTGTCGCAGCGCCAAGTGCCCAACGGCCGCTTCCTGTTAGTACCCGCACGCGCTCACCTGTGCCACTCACCTGTGCACAATCGCTCACCTGTGCCACTCACCTGTGCACAATCGCTCACCTGTGTCACTCACCTGTGCACAATCGCTCACCTGTGTCACTCACCTGTGCACAATCGCTCACCTGTGTCACTCACCTGTGCAAAATCGCTCACCTGTGTCACTCACCTGTGCACAATCGCTCACCTGTGTCACTCACCTGTGCAAAATCGCTCACCTGTGTCACTCACCTGTGCAAAATCGCTCACCTGTGTCACTCACCTGTACGCAATCGCTCACCTGTACAAGCGCGCACTCACCTGTGTCACCCACTTGAAAACAGTTGCTCACCTGTGTCACTCACCTGAACACAATCGCTCAACTGTCACTCACCTGTACACAATCGCTCACCTGTACACAAACTCATCTGTGTCACTCAACTGTGCATAATCTCTCACCTGTACACACACGCTCTCACCTCCACATGCACTCACTCGCCTGTACTCGCATTTAATCACACCTGCACACGAGCACACCTGTATAGTGAACTCATATGTACACTCATAAACACACGTCTACACACCTGCAAGCATGCACCTGTATAAACAAACACACACACCTCTGTATGATTGTGTAGTTTTACATACAGTGTATGTGTTCATGTGGATATGCGTGAATCAGTTCAGACCCAAAAGGGGATCTTTCGCTTAATAAATAATGCTTATTTTATATTTTTACATACAAGATTGAGGAAGTGTATTGGTGGTTTGGTGTGTTACCATTACAGTTTGCTTCAGCAAATAGCCACGGCTCCCAGTGCAGCGGACGCTTCAATGCAATCACGAGCTGATGCTGCTGCTTCCATAGCGTTCGCCCAGTGGCATCACGAGTCCGTTGACTCGCTTACAAGAGGGCCTCGTTCTGGTGCGGCTTGGCTTCGGCCTCCACCACCCAGCCAACACGACAGAGGCTGACGCTGGTGCCTCTCTCTCTCTGTCTCTCCCCTCTGTTTCACGCGGGTTTCCTCTGGGTTCTCCGGCTTCCTCCTCTTGCTCCTCAAACTCTAGCTTGAAATCGCTCCACACCACGGGGCCGCTGTTGGCCACACGTCCCGATGTTGAAATTTTACCGGCACATTGCTGCATCGTGATCGCAGCAGCAGCAGCAGCAACATCGCCCCTTACCACGGAAACTTGGCATGGCCCTCCTGACAAGAGGGTCCTGAGACTCGGTGGTAAAAACGAGCGCAAATGAAGAACGCAATGCGGAACTTCTTCCCTCCAGGCAGCGCCGTCGCTCACTGCGGATTCTGCGTGGTGGAAAAATGTTCCCTCGCGGTCGATTCCAAGCTCGAGCAAAGGGGCCGTTCATTGTGCACGGCTCGCCCTCGACACCTATGGTTGGGGGGGGGGGGCTTGCCGTCACAACGAGTCCCGAATCCAGCGTGGACGACGAAACATACTCGGCTCGTCCCCGTGAGCGACAGAGGGACACAGTGAAGCCGAACACTCTGAAGGGAACCAAAGCCATCAGTCCACTGTCGGATGAAGGCCTCCCCCCCCCCACCGTCGTGTCAATCATAGAGGGTTGTTTGAACATACTTCACCACGCTGGTCAATGTGGCTTGGTGAAGGAAAGACCAGTACCGGTTTCGGGTGTGTTGCTCGCTCCCCGTTAGCTGTGGTCAGAACTCAAACTCGGCTCGCCAGGTTCATGGTGCAGTGCCCCCCCCACTCCCGACACTCTCTCAACCAACCACCACCACCGTCGGTCAGTGAGCCGTGTTGCGCCATACTTCTCCACGTTGATCAGTACAAATTGGTGATGTATTCCTATATTGGGTGGGTAGTGGGACGGCGAGAGTGGAGAGTGGGGGGGGGGGGGGGGGGGGCATACAATTGGAGCTCTCTAACCCGCGCTGCGTTAACCCGGCCCCCGCTCGCGACAGCCTCGCGGGATCGGGAGGGGGGGGTGTTGGTCTCGGGATCCGACGTGTGATCCACCAACCCCGGAGCTGACAAATGCGCTGCTGACGCCGCTGTGCTCGAGTTCCGCTTGCGGCCACCGCTTCCTGGAGAACCCAAACTACCCCCCTCCTCCTCCTACCCCCCCCCCCCTCGGCTTCGTAGAGACGCCACGAAAACCCCGGCACCGCGACCATCAAGCGCTTCTCCACTTTGCGCACGCGCGCACACAATGGGCACCTCTGTAGCCACGCACACTAAGACAAAGGTCCCCACGTAGCCTCGAGCACACTGTTGGGGCCGGCGGCGAGTAGCACCGGTGAAGGCCGGCACGGCACACGAGGGGATGGCGTTGCACAGCACCACCACCACCCCGTGGTAAGCCACCTTTGTATACCCAGCGCTGGTGTTTTATACACACCGCGCCAGGTACTCGCCGAAGGCGGCCAAGTTGGCCTAGGGGAGGCTCAGGACCCGTTGGTTCTGATGTTCGTCACTGATGTTGCCGGTCGTGAGCGGCAATTGAACTCGGGTCACCGGGTTCGTCGTGCGGCACGCTATCCACAACGCCACTCCACCCCATTATACGCACACAAATACGCACACATATACTATATATACCAAGACAAAGATCCCCTGTATAGCCTGAACAGACTGTTTGGGGCGAGTGCTCTCACAGCAGGCGCTTATAAAGGCCAGATCGGGACACGAGGGGGTTATTAAGGATGGACGTTTATAAACCAGTTTAAGTCATAACTGGAACCGATGTTTCCATCCTGCCTACCGATGCTAGCAGTTATTTCCGTCTCTCTGAGTTACATACACGCTGGATGTCTCACTAACAGCCACCGTTGTGCTGGTTCACTTACACTGACATGCTAATCTCTCACAATACAATGGCCACCTCCACAGCTGCGTCGTCGTCGTGGAGGTACATCACCGATCTTACATTGACATGCAAATTCTACCTCTAGCCCCGCCCACTTACCCTTGGGCTACACCCATCTCAAGCCTATATAACGTCGTGTTTCAGCAGCTCTCCGATCTTACATTGACATGCAAATTCCACCTCTAGCCCCGCCCACTTACCCTTGGACTACACCCATCTCAAGCCTATATAACGTCGTGTTTCAGCAGCTCTCCGATCTTACATTGACATGCAAATTCCACCTCTAGCCCCGCCCACTTACCCTTGGGCTACACCCATCTCAAGCCTATAAAACGTCGTGTTTCAGCAGCTCTACGATCTTACATTGACATGCAAATTCCACCTCTAGCCCCGCCCACTTACCCTTGGGCTGAGCCTATATAACTTGGTGCTTCAGCAGCTCTCCCGCTGTATTTTCTCCTGCCTCAGCAGCTCTCACGCTATATTGTTTCACCTGATGACGATTGCTTGTGTTGCGATCGAAACGTGATAAATGTATTGTTTTTATATCTACGTGGCCTTACCGAAAGACCCAAATAATATTTTGTATATGTATAAAATATTTTGCATTCCACATCCTCACATCATCACATTGCAACATCCTGACAATCTGGACAGCATTACCAGTCGCACCGATGGTATCAGGCACACTGGCCTCATTAGGGCGGGGGGGGGGGAGAGGAATTTTCCTTGGGGGAGGGGGTTTGCCCAGGTCATTGCCACTCTGGGCTCAGGTATTTAAGACTGTTCTAAGGTTTAGGAATGGACCCCACGTACGGGTGTATTCTTCTTCCTTGCCTCACGCTCGACCGCTGCTGTCTCCCTATCGGCTATGTTTTTACACACCGCCCCAGGTACTCATTTGAGGCTGAGTTGACCTAGGGGAGGCCCGGGACTGGTTGAGATAATCGCCACTGGTGTTGGCTGTGGGCTGGAATCGAACTCGGGTCGCCGGATTCGTAGCACAGCGCGCTACACTATGCATACTATACACACGATCATACACACACACATATACAGAGACCCCCCCCCGTATAACACAGGCACACAGCTCCTGTGACAATGATCACCCCGATCCCATCAAGAAACATGGCCCCCTTTAGCCGTCGCAACGTTCACCGTTTGCATCACGGTGGAGAACGCGTCTCAAAGCAAACAGCCTCCCACTTCGATGTCTGTCCACGTTAAAACTAAATCTAAGCATTGTTTTAGTTTAACATGTAGGCTTTCGCGACCAATATTATTCATAATAAAGGTTTTTGGGTTAGATCGCGTTTATTTATGAGTTAAGTTATGACGTCACCCTGCTGCTCTATATAAAACCGGGAGCAAGCGAGGGCTTTACCATTCTGGCGAATTGCCCGATGATGCTGGATGTATTTACCAGCGAAACGTCGTACTCAAACTGTAAATGTGGATTCACTCTTCAACACACCGGTGGGCTAAAGTAGTGAATTATTTGTCTTTTTGTCAACGTGACACTTTTTTTTGCTGATTGGCCGTGTCGGGTGGTGGAGGGTTACGACACATTTATAAATAAACGCGATCTAACCCAAAAACCTTTATTATGAATTATTATGAAGCATTGTTTTACTTCACACATCCGATCAGCCATATTGTCTGCTTATTTAGTTTGACCGTGACAATGTCGGTAGTGCCGTTTGTGTCTGGCCACTTGGCGTTTTTGGGCCCTTTGGAAGTCCATCCCGTCGTCTCTTTCCCCACGTTATTATAATACCCTTGCTCATTTCAAGAAACACTGTTTTACTCTTGTCCATGACATCGTTTTAACGGCGTTGCTGTTTAAACTTGATTTTAAGCTTTCGTGACTGCAGGAATTACTCGTTGCTGTTTGTAGCTGGGCTGCTCGGCGTGTTTGACCTTTGGGCCTGAGGTCGGCAACTGTGGTAAAACATCATAAACTCCTTTAAAAACGTTTTTTAAAACAACGGTTTAATTAACAACTTCGTTTAACTCACGGTCGAGAAGTACGTCAATAATGCGGCGCCTGCTCCCACATCAACGCTTACTTTAATAAATTGATTGCTTTATCAATGAATCTTCAATGTACAACTTTTGTTTGTATGGAGTGAGGGTGCCCGTAACTCGTTCGCAAGGAGCAGGCGCGCCTGAGACGCGAGGCGCCTGCTTCTTGGGCGAGGCGATTCGAGAGTCAGGCGCCCATACAAAATGTTAATTGCTTTAAATTAGCGAAGTAATAGATTAATTGATGACGATTTTGATACAGGCATGCATTGTCACCGGATCTGAGTACGTGTGCAAAATGTGTAATTGATTGGACAACGGGAAGTAGACTAACTTTTGATTACAAGATTTGACCACGACACAGGAATCAAGTTAAGTAAAACCACAAGGCAGCAGACATCACAGCTATCGCCATTGTCACCTGAAGACGAACGCTTGTGTTGCGTTCGAAACATTGTGATTTATTTTATTTTATTTCTACCTATGTGACTTTACAGCAACTTAACAAGTCACTAAATTTAAGCAGCGTCCTTAAAACATTCAACATATTCCAAAATCAATGTAATCGTGAGCAATGATCAATCCACTGCTGGTTGAAGGTCTCCTGAAAATGTTGCCAGACCTCAGGTGCCTGCGAAGCGGCCGATGTGGAAACTTGGGAGTTACATTTAGTTTGGAGATTCGTTAAAGATTGGTGTTGGTAAAAGACAAACTTCTTTGATTCCTTCGGTAAAGTCACGTAGAATTTTATTGTTTTATTTTATTCTACGTGACTTTACCGAAAGAACCAAAGAAGATGAATCCTTGCAGTCACGAAAGCTTTAAATCGAAAAAGACAAACTCTTTGGTTCTTTCGGTAAAGTCTACCTACGTGACTTTACCGAAAGAACCATAGAGTGTGGATTCCTGTAGTCACAAAAGCTTCAAATCAACAATTCCCCACTGTCATGGGAAGCCTCCGTCCGACCGAGGAAGCTGCAAAGGCTGAAAACTAGTGGGGATATTTTCGAGTTTGTGTTTTTTTCCTTCCTGTGGGACAAGATTTGGGTCAAACCGCCAAGAACTTTCGTTGTTTGTCTTTTGCCAACACCAATCTTTAACGAATCTCCGAATTAAATGTAGCTCCCAAGTTTCCACATCGACCCGGGTCGCAGGCGCCTGAGGTCTGGCGACAGTTTCAGGAGGCCTTCAACCAGCAGTGGATTGATCATTGCTGACGATTACATTGATTTTGGAATATGTTGAATGCTTTAAGGACGCTGCTTAAATTTCGTGACTTGTTAAGTTGCTGGGTTATTGAATCTGTAGGTGAAGTAACACAACCACCATCGTCAACATCACCACTACCGTCACGACCACAAACGCAACCTGCATCACCACGACCAACCACCGCCATCATCACCACCTTGGTGAATTTGTAACGAAATCTTTTGGCAGCAGTGTCCAGTGTGTGGAACTGGGTGTGATAGTCGTTGATAACCCGCATCCCCTGTAGGTTATAGATTTAGAATGTTCGTATGTGTGTCAATGCGTGTGTGCTGTGTGTGTGGTGTTGGCCACCCACTCGTGTGACGTGACGGCCTTCAAAGGTGCTCGCTTACAGAACTTGCCCCGACGGTCTCTTCAGGCTACACGGGGAATCTTTGTCTTGTATACGCGAGTATGAGTGTGCGAGTGTGTGAGTGCGCGAGTGGACGAGTGTGCGTGGGAGTGTGTGAGTGTACGAGTGTGAGTGTGTGAGTGTACGAGTGTGAGTGTGTAAGTGTACGAGTGTGTGAGTGTGCGAGTACACTCGCCAGGGTTCCACCTCGACGCCTCGGGGTGGTGAAACGTGTTAACCGGCTGAAGAGTAAAACGTCGTTGACATTCACAAATCACCGCAAATCCGCTTGCAGGATCCGCCAGCGGAACACGGGGGGCTCGTTCGCCATCAGCCTGGTGTTCAAGAAGAAGGTGTTTCACTACGTGGTGGACACCGACAAGTCCACCAAGTTGTCCATCCCCGAAGGCCGCAAGTTTGACGCCCTGTGGCAGGTGGGTTGACGCTCAAGGGGTTCACCCCGCACACGCACAATGCTTACACGACGGGGTTTTTTGTGTGTTGTTTATTGGCCTCCGGTCATCATTGAGAACCCACGGCGTTGTTGTGTTGGGCATTTGGAATGGCGGGGGTCGTGGGTGAGTCAAGCTCAGGGTGCAGCCTGCAAAGGATTGATCAGAGGGGTGTATGGGAGCTTCATCATCATCATCATTCGTGTTCGTCAGTGAGTCGTGCCCAGATGCAGACTCGCTATTAGTTGGGAGAGGTCGTCACAACAGTTGGGGTTATTCAATGAGCCATACACAGTAAGCCACACCAAGTAAGCCGGATCCATAAGAACGTGGAATTTCCACCACCGGCTGTGTAGGGCTGTAAACAGGAGACGAGCGCCAACGCCTCGATGCTTGTTTGAGCAGCGAATTGCTTCGCCATGAAAAGCAACAACAGATTGTAGACCGTGAATTTTTTAGTTTGACGCGAGCGTGTTCACAGTGACATTGATAATGCAGTGGGGACGTGGGTGGCGACGATGACGATGAGCTCACTGTCGGTGGCGATGCGAGCTGTAAGGAAGTGAAGCTCGCAGTAGACAGGGCAGCAGCGTTGTTTCTCACAAGCCCAGTTGCATTTTAAGCGCCCTTGCTCAACATCCTCTTGTCAAATACCGCAAGTTCGTTCGCTCTTCCGCTTTGTAAAACATTTGCAAGTTACGGAGACAACACCCACGTTGTCGCAACCAATGCGACGATGCTGAAATAGAGCTTTTTGGGTTCGGACAATTGAATTTGTTTGGCTATGTCGGGTGGTGGAGGGTTTCACGACAACACATTCGGTCACATTAATCCGGATCTCTTACTGAAGATAGTTTTATGCAAAAAATAATTGCCCGACTCAGCCAATCGCAGCCCTTGTTTGTGCAACAATCGCAGCAATTTTTAGCGCGCTTGGAACAAAGTTGCCTCGAGTTGCAGAGCAACGTCACTCAGACGCGCGATGATGACTGCTCGGTGTCTTCGTGTTCCTTGCGTTTGTCTCCGTGTCTTCCCGTGTCCCCGTGTCCCTGTAGATGGTGGAGCATTACAGCATGAAGGAGGATGGACTCATGTGCGCGCTAGGGGAGGCGTGCATCTGCCCCGAGTACGTGGGTGAGTACACATCACGTGGGTCTGTTCATGGTACGTGGGTGAGTACATGGTGAGTACATGGTGAGTAGATGGTGAACCGACGGTCTCCACGCTCACCCGTACTGCACGTGCTGCTGCCGATGTGGGAGGTCACGACCATGGTGGAGGTGGTGGTTTAGTTGATGGTGGAGGATGTTGTGGTGCAGATGGAGATCATGGTAGTGGTGGAGGTGTGGCAATAGTGATGGTGGAGGAGGAGGTGGAGATGGTGGTGGTTAGTTGGTAATAGTTGAGGTGGATGTGATAGCTGAAGTGGTGTGTGATCCCCTCGTGTGTGCGCGTTTTTTTTCAGATCTGTATGGAAACTACGTGGATGTGAGTTGAACCTTTGAATTAAATTCAAATGAAAACGCATCAAATGACACACAAATGCAAATAAACACACAACACAGTAACTTTACGCACTCAGGCACACATACTGTACACACACACACGTTTACACATGTAGCCTTAACAGACTGATGGGGCAAGTGCTGTTAGCGAGCACCGATGAACACACACGTAGTTACACACACACGTAAGAATAATTATAAACAAGCACACGGACATACAGAGAGGCGCGCACAGATACACACATGTACACAAACACAACGCACTGCCGTCCAACCTCGGGACCCCCCCCCCTAGTGGGGATGAATCCTGCGCTGTCTGCGTCCATCCCCCCAGCAGGCGAGAACTCACGAACCCACGCGCAAGAATTGGTTTTCTTCATCCTTCCCCAGCGCCCTGCGGCTGAAAAACCTCATCCCGGTAGGTCACCGAAGAAGGGAAAGATCCACCCCCCCCCCGCCCCCGTGTGTAGGACCGCAGAGCTTGGACAATCGTCGGTAGCGCCGTCTTATCACCACCGCCACCGCCTGGCTGCTGCTGCTGCTGGCATCCAGCTCGTGTCTGTGGTTCTTCTGAATCTGAGAGACGCAATTTGCTACCAAACATGACAACGCTTGATATACAACCAAACGTGACGATTCATCATCAATCATAGGCCATCGGTCCCCGTGAATGATCAATTTAACAATAACTTAATCCTTATCTCTTAAAACTTTGATGGTGCTCTTTGTTGCTGACCGCTTGACGTTGTGTGTTAGAGCCGCTTTGTTAACCAAAAACCAAAATCAAACCGCCGGTGGAATGGCCGAGCCAAAGCTGCAGCGGCTACTCCGTGCGAGCCGCAGATGGCGCTGTCCGACCATCAATCGTGGCCGCTGCGCTCAAGGAAGCCTCCGTGCGCGTCTGTTGGGATTCGGCCTCCCTCGTCATGGGCACGCCTGGATGGGCCGCTGCCTCCAGTTCGAATGCTAACGGCGTGCCCACGGTGTAAGCCCCTCTCCACATACGAGGCAGATGACGGCGGCGAACATGGATGACTGTGCCGTACTGATGAGACCCAGCAAAAGACGCAAACCGGTCTCGACTTAAATCATAAAAGTTTTCGTGACTGCAGGAATTCACCGATCCACGGAGGCAGCGGCGGCAGCAGCGGCGGCCACGTGGATCTGGCGCTGCGTGCGCGGCACGTTCGCCGCTCACGCGGTCGACGGTTCGGAACTTCGCCGCGGTCGCGCTCCCGGCGATTCCGTTTTGTGGAAGCGCGGCGGAGCGACCCACATCGTCACATCCGCGGCTGTCCGCCGTTGGGACGGCCACATTTTCCCTTTTGAGTTGGGGTTCCTGAACGACAACGTGGCCGCACGTGCAGTTATTTTGAGCCCGTGGTCTGGGCAAGGCTGAGAGCTATTGTAGGTGCAGTGCTGCACACCTCTGCGTGTTGTTAAATCTAACTGCAGTGTTTGGTTATGGCTAAAGTAATAATGTCCAATATCCCCCTTTGCAAAGAGACTTTCTGTCTCACCTGCATGTCTGTCAACCTGCCATCCCACCTACTTACCTGCCTGCCCTACCAACCTACCCACTCACCTACCTACTCAGCCACCTACCTATATATTTACTCACATACCCACCCATCTATCGACCCACTTACCTACCCACCTACCTTTCTAGTCACCCAAACACTTACCTACTCACTACCCACCTATGTAGTCATCCACCTAGCTGCCTGCTCAACCATACATTTTCCTTACCCACCTACCCACCTACTCATCCACCCACCCACCATTGCCACCTATACCATGCAATTTTGTTGAAATTAAAATACAACTGTTTTTAATCTTAACGAAGAAAACACATTCTAAATCTCGACGTTTCAGCTCTCTGGCCTTCATCAGGAGAATGGTAAACAAACAACGTTCAGCGTCACTTCGTATGCGGCCGTGTGGCTCAGCGGTGGAGCGAGCGGCTCGCGATCGGAGGGTCGCGAATTCAAATCCTGGTTGTGGGGTGGTGTTCACTCGGCCCATCATCTCTCCCTCCGGGGTCGATACAAATAAGCACCACTTTGTGGGGAAGCATCAGCAGCGGGTATCCTCTGGACAAACTCGCCCCTGCCGTAGGAATGTGGAATTTCCATCGCTGGCTCCGCGTGGCTGGTAAGCGCCTGGTAAACAGCAGGGGTGCACCGCTGTTTCAATGATGAGACGAGCAGAAATCGACATCACTCGACTCCGCGTCTAGGTAATGGCCTCCGTCCCTTATCCACGGAGCAGGGACACCCATTAGTGCTGGGGTAGAGAGCCGTGATGGGGCTGCTGTTGTTGTGGATTCCCATTGTAGCTGGCACAGGGGGGTCATGGTGGTGTCCGTGTCATGAATGAGTAGGTGGATGTGATTGTGTGTACACGCGTGTCCGTGTATGCGTCTGTCTTTTGTATGTGTGTGTGTGACAGTGTGTGTGTCTTTGTATGTGTGTGTGTGTGTAAGAGTGTGCGTGTGTCTATGTATTTATCTCTGTGTGACTGTGTGACACTTTCTCCCCGATGTAGGCTATATGGGGGATCTTTGTCTTTGTTTGCAATCCTATTGCTCTGTGGTCTTCGCCATGAACCCAGTGCCATCATTGCATACGAATGGAGGGAGCACTATCTGACGCGGCCTTAAATGAGTAATTGTATTGGCGCGTAAACATCCGCGATGGGAAGACAAAGGTGGCCGTGCATTTATCCCGGCCACACCACCCCCTCGCGTGCCGTGCCAGCCCTAATAAGTGCTCGCTCACAGCACCTGCCCCAGCAGTCTCTGTAGGCTACACGGGGGGACGGGGGCGTTGTGGAGGATTGAGTTTGTGAGTCTGTATGGCAGCTTGGGGTGGCCTTCATTCAGCAGTAGATTGATCATGGCTGATGATGACAATGATCAATGGTGGTGGTGATGATGGTTGTGGTTTTGATGGTGATAGTGATGATGATGGTTGTGCTTTTTGTTAAAGGTGATAGTGATGTCAATGATGATGGTGGTGGTGATGATGGCGGTGATACTGGCGGTAATAACGATGGTTTTAATGTTGATGACTTGTAATGATGATAATAACGATGGTTATAATGTTGATGACTTGTAATGATGATTGTAACGATGGTGAGAATTTTTATGATGCTGGTGATAATGATGGCAATGGAGGATGATGATGATGGCGGTGATGGTGACTGGAACACACCTCTATTGACAGGCCATCACCAATGGATTCTCCAGTCCGGAGCCGCCCATCGAGAACCCAGGTAACGACCTGCACCACCCTTGCGGGCAACCCCGCCTACATGCCTGCCTGAGTGAGAGAGTGTCCCCACTGTATCCCTCTAAATCTGCATCCCTCACGTATCCTCCCCGTGTCCCCGCCTTGTCGCCTCCGTGTCCCCCCCCTCCGCGTCCCCAGGCCCGGTACAGAATAACGTGTACTACTCGAAGCCGCCGCTGCCCGGAGCTGCGGTGAGCGACCCGGAAGGAGAGGGTGTGTACAGTGACCTCAGTGACCTCCGCTGCATCTACCTCAACCGCAACCTCCTGCAGCTACAGCACAACACGGAGCTGGGCTCGGGAAACTTCGGCACTGTGCAGAAGGGAACCTACACCTTGGCGGGGTACGGCAGAGTGGGGGGCTCTCGATGGGGGGGGGGGCACGCGATCGCCCCGGTGCGGACGCGGAACTCGCGTCGTGACGGGTACCGTGCGGGGGCTCGCAGTCTGGGGTTGTTCTGTGGAACCAGGATGGGACCCTCAAAAGGCCAGAGTGGCAGTGTCATTTGCAGGCGTGACCGACCTGTCTTCGATGTATGCCCCCCACGTCTCCCCGTCTCCACCACCACCACCACCAATACACTCCACCACCACCTCTCCGGCGTGCAGGAAGGAGGTGCAGGTGGCCGTCAAGGTCCTCAAGCCCGTGGAGAACCAGGAGACGCTGAAGAAAGACCTGATGAAGGAGGCGGAGCTGATGCACCAGCTGGACCACCCGTTCATCGTGAAGATGTTCGGGGTGTGCGAGGGAGAGGCGCTCATGCTCGTCATGGAGATGGCCCCACTTGGGGCCCTCAACAAGTACCTCCGCGAGCACCGGTACGCGACGTCACCGCACCGGTACGCGACGTCACCGCACCCGTACGCCACGTCACCGCACCAGGTGCACCAGGTGCGGTGACGTCACCGCACCGGTGTGCGACGTCACCGCACTGGTACGCGACGTCACCGCACCGGTGTGCGACGTCACTACTCCGGTACGCGACGTCACCGCACCGGTGCGGTGACGTCACCGCCATCGCCGTGGTGGTCGCTACTCCGCTGCATGTGGCTGCTGTGATCCAGAGCATTGGAGGCAGTAGCGAGGGGTTGGTGGATCACACACAGATGTTTAGAAACTCCCTTCCCATGGGAGTCCAAGAGGAGCCGTACCCTGACTCGCCAGTAGAAGGCGCTACAGCAAGTGGGCTAATCGACATCTGTTTCCATCTACATAGAGTGTTGCCCCCTCACACAAGGTGCAGGTTTCCTCTGGGTTCTCCAGCTTCATCCCGTAACTTAAAAAAACACACACACGCAGTGGAACAGGTATTGGATAAACATCTCCATCCTGAGTAATCACCTGCAAATTACTCAATTGGGATCACACTCAGCAGCAGCACCATCGCCCCCTCCTGCGAAAAAATAGTCTTGAGACTCGGTGAAGCCTCCTGGGTCAACGAGCATCATCACCCTCACCATCATCGTCACCATCATAATAATAATAATAATACATCGCCGTGGCGACGGTGGTTGTTGGCGGAGGTACAGTGGCACGATGCCGGTGGAAAACATCCTGGAGCTGATGCACCAGGTGTCGGCCGGCATGAAGTACCTGGAGGAGCGCAACTTCGTGCACCGCGACCTGGCGGCGCGCAACGTGCTGCTGGTGAACGAGCGCTACGCCAAGATCAGCGACTTCGGCCTCTCCAAAGCCCTCGCCAGCGACGAGTACTACAAGGTGCCTGCCTGGAGTGACGATGTGGTGTGTCGGGGTGGAGATGTGTTCTGGTGTGGCTAATAGGCTGACTGCGGTAGGGCTACACAGGATGTGGCGTGCTGTGCGCCGCTATTTTCTGCGTCACCGATGGACTAGCCACAGCCAGTGGTGGAAATTCCACATTCTTTTGGTAGGGGCAAGTCTCACCATGCGATGACCACTCAGGTTTAACGACGCACAATAGGTGTGCATCACTGCACTCACAAAAAGCTCTCAGCCTTATCCAGACCACCAGCTCCAAAGAACTGCACGTGTGGCCATGTTGTTGTTTAGATCGCCTACTCAAAAAAAGTTGTCGAGGCAATGTGACCGTCCCAACGGGCAGCAGTCCTCAGCCTGACCACGCAAGTCTTGTGCCCCCACCCCCATTCCCCGCTGTGCCCCAGGCCTCGAACGTGGGCCGCTGGCCCATAAAGTGGTACGCGCCCGAGTGCATAAACTACCGGCGCTTCACCAGCAAGGGCGACGTGTGGAGCTTCGGGGTGACCATGTGGGAGGCCTTCTCCTTCGGCAGCAAGCCCTACCCGGTGAGTGACGGGAGGGGGGGTGGGGGTGAGCAGGCAGGGTGAGGATATAGAGGCGGCAGGATGGAGTCAGTGGCGAGGAGTAGGAAGCGCAGCGGTAACGCTCGCGCCTTGCAGCCACGAGTGCTTGGGTTCGATTCCCAACTCGGACCCCTTTCTACGTTGAGTTTGTAAGTTCTCCCCCTGTTCTGCAGAATGAGAGTTGGATTATCTTTGAGTGTATGGCTAGCGGTAGCGTAGTGGTTAGCGCACTGCACTACGGCGACCTGATTTCGATTTAAGCTCACAGCCAACATCAGTGATGAACATCTGGACCGGTCATGGGTTCACGAAATATCTGGTGCGGTGGGTGAACATCAGGCTGAGAAAACGAAGGTGGGGCCTGGCATGCTGCTGGCTACCCACTCCCTTTACAGGCTGACATGCCAGCCTGCAAAGGTGCTCGCTAACAGCACTTGCCCCAACGGTCTGTGAAAGGCTATACGGGGGATCTTTGTCTCTGCGTGTGTGCGCGTGTGTAGAAGATGAAAGGCCACGAGGTGCTGGTGTTCCTCGAGAGCGGGATGCGTCTGGACAAACCGGAACATTGCCCGGACCCCGTCTACCAAATCATGCTCGCGGCCTGGAACCTGAGGTGAGGCTCTCCCTTCCACCTCTGTGTCTCCCACACAACAATACCACGCTGCACACGCGTGCCCACTGGTGTGCGTTCACCAGTCGCCGTCCACCATCATCATCATAACCACGGTCACCATCATTGCTCTCACCACCGACACCTCCTCCAATTCCACCACAGCCATCATTAACACCACCACCATTAAAACCATCACCGACAACCACCGATTCCACCACCTCCATCATCCACCACCTACATCATCCACCACCTCCATAATCCACCACCTACTTCAACCACCAGCTCCATCAACCACTACCTCCATCATCCACCACCTCCATCATCCACCACCTCCATCATCCACCACCTACATCATCCACCACCTACATCATCCACCACCTACATCTACCAGCATCGTGTCTCCTCTCCCCGTGCGACCCTCACCTCCGCGTCTCCGTGTCTGCTCCATGCCACCCGCAGTCCGGACGCGAGGCCGATGTTTCACGAGATCGACATGCAGCTGGAGTCTCTGAAGAACGAGACGCTGAACCTAGGCCAGGATACCTTGCTGCCCAAAATGCCGTCACGGAGGAGCACCACCAGGCCATGAGGGTGGCCACAGAGGGGGCTCTCTTCATGCAGGCCTCACTCTCCTGCCAATTGCAGGCCACGCCCACACACCCTCTACCCACGTAGGCCTCACTCTTCCCCGCATGCAGCCTTCATTCCACAGAGAATCGTCGTATGTGAAGCTTCTTCCTTCTTTACAGGCCTCATGCATACACAGAGGCATCTTCTCACATGCAATCTTCACCCACGCACATTTACTCTATCCTATCCATGCAGGCCTCACCCACACAGAGAGTCTCTTATTTTCATGCAAGGCCTCCACTCTATTCATACAGCCAGGGCATCTACTCCATTCATACAAACCAGGCATCTACTCCACCACAGGCCATGCCACACACTCTGCTTCTCATGCAGGCCTCGCCCACACCGATATAACTTTTTATCTGCATGCTGATTGCACTCACAGAGAACCTTATCATTGATAATCGTCATTCATGAACATTTATAGAATGGCCCTGGTCATGGGAATGTGGAATTTTCACCACATTTGTATTGCTCGATTGGACAGGGAGAAGCTTTTACTTGTGTGTATGTTGAACTTCTTTCGCACCGTACGTAGCCGGCCGTGTTATTATTTTTTACTTGTAAAGTACAGGATGCACGGATATATTTAAATGTACATGTGTGTGTAAGTGCAGAGGGGAGCGGTAGTGTAGCAGTTAGCGTGCTCCGCTATGAACCCGGCGACCCGAGTTCGATTCCCGCTCACAGTCAACACAACTGACGATTATCTGAACCGGTCCTGGGCTTCCTCTAGGTCAGCCTCAAATGGGTACCTGGTGTGGTGTTTGAGAACATCGCCACTGGGGAGACAAAGGCGGTCGGGCGTGGTGTTGGCCACCCACCCCCTCGGCCTTCATAGGTGCTCGCTAACAGCACTTGCCCCTACAGTCTGTAATGTCAATACGGTGGATCTTTGTTGGAGGCAGTCGCCCTCCAACAACAACTGAGGGCAGATGAGCGACACTCACAACAATGAGCGGAGGGCCGGGCGGGTAAAATACAGAAAGTTGGCATTGCAGGGGGTACAGCTGGTGGTGCATCTACCGGTCATTTCAGTCAGCCAACCCATGACACCTGCTGGGTCTGTCTCGAGACCTCCTCCTGTCAGCGAACCTTCGACACTTCACGTGGCTTCAAAGTGCACCTAGCCTGGCACAGGCACTTTCATACTATTACTGATTTGTTAAAAAGTTTGTTGTTCCGCATATAACTCAATAATCAACAGCAGCATAATCGGGTGGCTGTGTGTTTGTGACCAGATCTGTATAATTTTATTGATATTGGGCACAAGTGTTGGGTGTCTCTCACTTTCCGGATCATGCAACGATCCGGAGAATTTAGTACAGTAACTGGGGGGAGGGGGGAGATTCAAAACTGTAAACTTTTTGGGAAATCCCAAAATCTAGGGATAATTATTTAACTTTGCTATTTGAACACAGGCCTACAAAAGTTGGTATGCTAACTTTTTTAAGAGAATGCTTTATTGAAATATGGCGTTAAGATTGTAAAACCATGAAGTTGACATTCCTGGTTTTTAACCTCCCCTGGACCGGGGGGCTAAGTTTTATTCTGCTGCTGTTGCACTCTTTTGTATTTGTATCCAGTGCCTATGCACGTCGGCACCCGGCAGTTTTGTACGGCGGTGAAATGTAACGCAGCCCGTCGCTTATCCGCCCCGACCAATTAAGCACCCACACGCAGTGCAGCACTGGTACACGGCTTAATTTCCTGTCATTTGCTCCAGACGTTCACAAATCCGAGTTAGTCACACGCAGCATTAGTGAGTTCCTGAACGCGCGAACGTTGGCTGGAGAGTCCGGCTAAGCGTTTGCCCTGTGGCGTTCATTCTGCGTCCTCTCCATCCCTGTCGGTAACGGTGTAACTGGCATCAATTTACGTATCCGCCTAGACCTAGGACCCTTGCTTGGCGATAGTGGTGTCGTACTGTACAGTGTTATGTTTTCAATACTTTTCGGATAAGTGTGACTTTTAAGCCGATAGAGATTGTTGGTTGTTTTATACACACAAATGTATAACATGGGGTGGAGCGGTGGTGTAGCGGTGAGCACACTGCGCTTTGAACCTGGACACCTAAGTTCGATTCCAAACCTCGGCTAACATCAGCGGCAGGTGATATCTGAACCGATCTTTGCCTTCTGTCACCTTCACCAATCAGCACCGACCAGCGAGGTAAAGTATGAAAAAATAACCCCCAAGATTGGCATGGCGTTTGAAAGGCCTTAATATAGCAGTGGACCGACAACTGTACTATTTCTTCATTCAGCCATGTTGTTGTATCCTGTCGTTTACATTGGGATTTTACCTTATTTTTGTCTTTTGCATCCCCTTGGCCTAGCCACATGGACGTGGAATCTCCAAGACAGCCTGAGAGCTGTAAATAGGCAAAATAACCTGCCAAGCATGAAAACATTGATACGTTGTAACTTCCTAAATGGCTGAGTGGTGTCACTTGCAACTGACACTCTTCTCAGCCTTATCCAGACCACAAACTGAATGCGTTGCCATTTTGTCGTTAAAGAAACACAATCCCAAACAGTTGAGAATTGGTGGTCCAAAATACAACATGGCCACTCATTCACTTCTGAGCTAGTGGTCTGGACAAGGCTGAGAGTGAGCATATGCTGCACACCTACACGTGTCGTTCACGCTATTTCCCCTTGTGAGGAGTATTCTCGTCATTTAGATATTTGAACTAAAACGCTTGCATGTGACCTGGTTTTGGAATAAAACGTTGATGACAGTGTTTGGGTTTGAGACGTGTTAACGTGAAGTATTTAAGACCGCAAATATGTGTTTGTTTTTTTTGTTTTATTCATCTTTGCAGTTTTTTTTATACAACTGCAAATGTTCTTCGTTAAAAATGTAACTTTTCAAATAAGCACATACAATAAAAAAGTGAAGTTTCACCTTTAGCATTGGACGTGTTGCTGTATACGGCCAGTGGGTGCGCGGGTGCCGCTCTGTTGCAGAGGTTTGCGGTTCTATTCCAGTGGCCGCTTTGGTTAATAATGCTGTTGTGTGTATTCACCGTGATGGTACCACGCGCCGTCTGCTTCACTCAAGTAGACGTTAAATATTCGCAGGAGTAGGCTACCGTGTGCCAGCGTTATGGTCCACATTTAACAATTTAAAATTGCACCGCAAATTTCTCAATTGGGATCACACATACAGCAGCAACATCCCCCCCCCCCCCACTGCGAAAACTGGACGGGACCCTCCTGAAACAGAGTCTTGAGACTCACCGAGGCTTTCCTGGGTAAACCCGCGGAATCACGACAATAACATTGAGAGCTGCTGTCCACTTCAGAACCTCCCTCAATGCTATCGCGGCCTGGGGTAGATCTTCATCATCATCCCTCTGTTACATTCTCATCACCACGGCCATCTACCTGGCTTTAGGTTTTCTTATTGTTACACTGTTGACATTTGTCTCTTTGTTGTTAGGGAGGCTTTATGGAGATGATGTTCACGATAGATTCTGAAGATTCGGATCGTGATCATCTAGAGCTCTTTCTCAAGGTGATTGTAATGAGGATGATGATGACATTGGTGATTAACTCAGGCACTGGAGTTTTTAAACGAGATAAACAATTGTATTACAGACATTCAATTCGCACCAACAATGACAACCATAACAATAATTTAACAGCAACGACTTCATTTCCCCCTCCAAAGAAATAATTCCCTCAAACATTCCAAGCAGGCATGACCCTCTTGCCAAAGAGTCTTGAGACTCACTTTAGCCTCATGCGGCAGGGTGGCTGCGCAGCGGTTACTCTGGAGCCTCACGGCAACAAGAGCCTGGGTTCGATTCCCAAATCGGGTCCCTTTCTCTGTTGAGTTTCTCTGTTCTCCCCCTGTTCTGCGTGGGTTTCGTCCGGGATCTCCAATTTCCTCCTCAATAGGTCAAACCCACACACACAGTGGAACTGCTATTGGCCACGGTTTCCTCCTTCCATAGCTAAATCCCCCCCCCCCCACACACACACACAGTGTAACTACTATTGGCCAAAGCTGAACATTTTTCGTTTTGTTCGGATTATACGACGCTCCCGAAAGTAAGACGCACCCCACATCTGCGCCTAGTGTCGGTGCCAATGCAGTTTTACAAATATGTACTCGCACACAGACACACACACACCGGATTATAATACGCACGTAAAAAAATAGTCATACGAATATAATGCACTGCCCAACGTTTGCCATCTCAAAAACATGGAGAACAAGAGAGCCTCTAAGAACAACCCGGAGACGAGGCTCAATACCCAGAGCGCGTGCCACCGTCTCAGATCGCCTGGTGGCAGCGCGAGACGTGGTAAGGGGCGATTTTGGTGGCCAAAGATAAATCGTTGGAGAGACACGACTGTAAGCCGAGCAGTGCGTGTGTTTGTGTACCCAGGGCAGATACTGAAGGGTGCCCGGGACCAAAGCGGCCGAGAGCCGCGTGGTGGAGCGGTTTGGTGGAACCGAGCTACACGATGGGAAGCGACAGAGCGAAGGGCCTCCAAGGAGAGAGTTTTCAATCAGGGCGCTCTGCCATGAGCCCGCCCGGCCGTGACGCGCGGATCAGAACGTGGACACTGACGATGGCCGTGGAACGCAAACAGTGCGCACGGCCACGTGGAATTACACTGAGATACAGCGAGAGGGACGCGTGGGAGTGGGGATCATCGATGGAGTTAGTGTCGACGTTATCGATGTGAGGGTGTTTGATGGGTTAATGCTTGTTAGGGTTACGGTAGATGCTGTTAAATATTGGCGTTCGGGTTGTTAGTGTTGTTGGTGTTAGTGATATTAGGGTTCTGAATATTGCTGGGGTTATGATTAGGGTTGGGGTTAGTGTAAGGGATGTTGCTGATGGGGTTCGGGTGGATGTTGGGGTTCGTGTTGTTAGGGCTCGTGTTATTGTTGTTGGCGTTGTTGTTGCTGGGGGGCTTGCATGGGGTGATCCCAATTGGGGGGCCCCTGGGCTGATTGCGAGTGCTGCGCATGAACAGCGGAGATCCCAGCGGGCCGTGGGGGGCCGGGTTGATGCTGCCCCCCTCGCGGGTTCCTGCACGCAATCAGCATCGTCATCAGAATCGTCATCAACATCGTCAGCATCAACAACATCATTTTCATCATCAAAGTTAGTATATAGATGAGTGTGTGTGATTGAGTATATACTCGTGTAGTGACATCGCTGGATGTCAACCGGTTGTGGGTGCAGTACCGTCCCTAGAGGGGCACGGTGTGTGCTGGATAATAGCGCTGGGTGGCACCAGGCTGTAAGTGCAGTGCCGGCCCTACAGGACAGGGTGTGTGGGTGCCGACCGAAGGCTGAGGTTGTGTGAGGCCATGGCACTCTGGTTGACCCGGGAGGACACGTGACCGGTTAAGTTGACAAAGGAGCCCCAAGAGGGGGCTAGGGGGGGTCACGTGATTGGGACCCAGATCTTTCCCGAGGGTTCTGGAAGGTGGACGTGACCAAGGGCGGAGCCGGCCACGCCACAGAGAATATAAGCCGGGTCCCGAGAGGGGCCGGGGTTGTTGTTCATCCTGGAAGAAACCCTTCGTCTATGTTCTCCGTTCAACGAGTCTCCAACAAGTGGACCCGAGCCGAAGCTGTTGGTCCTGGTCCGTAGTAGCAGGTACATTGTAACTAGTGTAGTTAGCCTGGTGGTCACCACCATAGGTTGTTATTCTGTTAAGGGGAAATTACCCCGTGTGTTGCCTCCAAGTCTACGTCTGCGACTCAGTTGAACCCATTACACTCGTATAAGTGGATGTCGGTGTGTTTGTGGTGAGCGGTAGTGTAGAGGTTAGCGCGCTGCACTATGAACCCGGTGACCCGAGGTTGATTACCGCTCACGGCAAACACCAGTGACGATGATCTGAACCGGTTCTGGGCCTCCCCTAGGTCGACTCAGCCTGAAATTAATAGATAGTGCGGTGTGTTAATATCGCCACTGGGGATAAAAAGGCGGTCGGGCGTGGTGCGGGCCACCCATCCCCTCGTGTGCGTGCCAGCCTTCATAGGTGCTCGCTATCAGCGCTTGCCCCTACAGTCTGTTAAGACAACATGGGGGATCTTTGTCTTGTAGGTGGATGAGTTGATGAGTGGGTGCGTGAGTGTATAGGTGAGTAGCAAGTGGGTGAGCTTTTTGGTGAGTGGGCGTTGCGAGTGGACCGGCCAGTTCGCGTATCGGTGAGCGTATCGGTCAGGGAATAGGTGAGCGTATTAGCGAGCGAGTGAGCAGAGTGGAGGATTGCTTGGTGAGTGCGTCGTTGGTGAGCGCGCTTTTGGTGAGCGCGTTGTCGGTGAGCGCATTGTGGGTGAGCGCGTTGCGGTTGAGGTTAGCGGCTCACCAGCCTCGAGTGCCAGGCCGTGGCGAAGCGCCGCCTTGGGTTTTGTGCAGTGGAAGAGGAAGCAGAGGGCGCAGACGCTCACCACGAACGCCACGAGAGTGAGCGCCACCACGCTCAGAGCGAGCAGCAGGCCGATACTGCGGGAGGCGCCACGGCAGAGACACCACCCGCTTGTCCCCCTTCACCACCTCTGATGACCAATTCACCACCCACTCATCCCTTCACCACCCACTCACCCTTACCACCGTGCTCACCTTAGCGCGCGCATGTAGGTGTAGTCATACTCGTAGTAGCTGACCGGGTCCCCACAGCAGTACTTGAAGTCCGCGAACCCGCAGCAGTGCACGTGACCCGGCTCATCCCCTTCGCGGGGACACAGGAAGGGGTCCACGGGGAGACCCCGGGCGCTCACGTACCCCCCACACAGCTCCCCACGCCCGCACTCCCCCATCACTGCCTCCCTCACTCGTCCTTCCCTCTCCTCTCGCTTCCTTTCCTGCGCGCAGCAGCCGGGACTGGAAAGTGGTGGTGGAGGTGGTGGTGGTGGTGGCAGAGGGAGAATTGAATGGTTATGGTGGTGGTTGGAAGAGTGTGGGAGGCTGCTGGTGGTTCGGGAGGTGGTATTGAGTGGTGATGGTTGGTGGTAGTGATAAAGATGGTGGTTGTGTAGATTACGTAATGCACGTGAATCAAGAAAACCCACATCAACCACGCCGACTACTGCGAAAACTTTGGCAGAACCCTCCTGCTAAGGAGTCTCCTGGTTAAACGAGCGAACTCACGATCACAACAACAACACCAATAAGCGTGTGTGTATGGGGATCACGAAAACCGAATAGTCTTTGATCGAGTCCTCGCGGCCGGGCCCCCAAGAGAGGTGGGCGTACTCTGCCCAGGGGTCTCGGGGGGAATTTGAAAATGCCCCGTCGAACCCGGCTCCTCACGAAGAGAAGTCGGCCGGGCAGATGGACCCTCCGCTCCCGAAGCTTTGCGGAGACGGCGCAGGTGGTGGCTTGGGGGACGTTAAAAGCATGGAACCTGAGGACGGGAGCATAGGACTCCCCTGAGGATCAACCTCAGCAGGTACACACCTCAGCTCGCCCGATACATCCGACACTCCTGCCCCTACGTAGTGGAGATGGGATGAATTCACGCGGCGCAATGAAAGCTTTTAGACAAGAGGGATGTACAAACCAACTCCGTCGACCCCAGCGAATTTGAACACACTGGGGCCGAACGACCTGAATCACATCAACCAGCCCCCTCGAGGGTTTAAACAATTTGGGTGACAGACCCACGGGCACCTGAGGACAGTGCAGCCAGGCTTTGTCACCCGGAGCCCACTCATGTCCGGAAAGATGGAGACCCTTCAGCCTCTCATTTGCCAATTGGCGCAAATTGGCATTTTCCCAGGAAGCATCGCACACTTCTGAAAGCCTCTGAAGAGTAAAGCGCATGGACTCCAAAATTTTAGATTCAGCCTTATTTGGCTTAGCTCATAATTGGACATCAATCGTGGGGTCGTGTTCTTTTCATAACATTAAAAAAATGGCAAGTAGCCGGTGGACGCGTGAGGGGCCATTCTATAGGCAACCAGGACCCTGGGAACATGCAAGTCCCAGTCAAGCTGGGACTCGCTGACCTGATGGCTCAACATGGAAGTCAAAGTCCTGTGCAACTGCTCCACCATACCATCCGTCTGGGGGTGGTTGGGTGGCGTACATACTTTCTTTGTTGTCAACAAATCACACATCTCCCACAGCAATTTCGAAGAATTGTTTTTGCCCTGATCGGCCAAAAGGCACTCAGGGGCCCCCTTGTCCATCACGTAGCCATCGAGAAATGCCTCGGTGATGGCCGCCACCGACTGGTTTGGAAGCGGCCAGGCCATTGGCCACCACGAAAAATATTCGACACCCACCATTAAATACTTATTCCCGCGAGGGGTAGTAGGAAATGGGCAAAGGATATCAAGAGCGACCAGCTCATTTATGCGGGAAACTCGGATGGATTGCAACGGTGGACAGCAGGGTTTAGACAGGGGTTTCCGCCGCGCGCGCTGCACACACCCCTTCAATACATTAGAGACATCTTCTGCCATGCCGGGCCAGAAGATGTCGAGCTTAAGTGTGGCTAGTGTCTTATGCACACCCAGATGCAGCAGTCGCTCGTGCACCGCCCAGATGATTTTACCCCGCAGGGCAGTGGGCATGACAATGTTGTAACGGTGCAACCCTCCATCCCAATGCATGAGCAATCCGCCTCTGAGGATTATAGAGGCTACACCCCGTCGATCTCCACCCCCACCCGCCCGCCCCCTTGACACGGCGTCGTAGTTTAAACAGGGAAGCATCCTCAACCTGGAGGCGTCCCCACTCCGTATGGTCCAAGCCAATAACGGCATCACGCGCCACAGGACCGTCGGCTTCACCAGAGGCGTCCAACGCGGCCGACACCGCAAGGGGAGGGGGCGAGTCCATGGCAGGCGCCTTACAGCGCCCCGTGCCCGAGACCCACGTGCACCCGTCGCTCGTTGCTAATCGTGACAGGGCATCCGCGTTCGTGTGTCGGCTACCTTTGCGGTAGGAAACAGTAAATAAATAGTCCTGCAGGACTTCCAACCAACGTGAAAGTTCGCCAGACGGCAGTTCAATACGCAGCGCGTACTGTCGTGCTGCCATAAATATAGGGGCGATACTGTTGCACACAAAAAAAAACAATAACCAAAAGTTCCCGGCGTGTAACACTGCACCGTTGTTCGGCCGGAGACAGCACTCTGCTGCCATATGCTATAACACTCTTAACGCCATCAACGACTTGAGACAGAACAGCGCCTAATTCCGGTGTTGCTAACGTCTGTATCAAGGGTGAACGGCAAGGAAAAGTCGGGGTATCGGAGGGGAGGGGCGTTCATCAAGCCATACCGGAGCGCAACAAATGCGGCCTCCTCCTCCTCCCCCCAATGGAACTTCTCACCCTTTGCCATCAAGGCATGGAGAGGTTTGGCGATAGTGGCGAACCCGGCGACAAAACGTTGGTTAAAGGACGCAAAACCAATCAAACTCCGCACCTCCCCCACCGACGTGGGGTTCAACCAAGAACGCACACACGCGGTTTTGTCCGGGTCCGTCGCTATCCCTGATTTGCTGACTATGTGGCCAAGATACCGAACAGATTTTTGGAGCAGGTGACACTTCTGTGGTTTAAATTTGAGGTTCACCGCACGCATTTTAAGAAAGACAGCACGTAACCGTTCCAGATGTTCTTTAAACGTACAGCTAAAAACGATGACATCATCCAGATATATCAGGCACGAGTCCCACTGGAGGCCAGCTAGAACCAGTTCCATCAATTGCTGGAACGTAGCCGGAGCGGAATGAAGACCCATCGGAAGCCAATTTATATTCAAATAAGCCTTGAGGTGTACGAAAGTCTGTCTTGGGCTTAGAGCATTCATCTAGGGGCAACTGCAAAAATCCGGATAGGAGGTCAAGAGTCGAAAAATAATGTGCACCTGCTAGAGCATACAGGGAATCATCCATTCGAGGAAGGGGGTACGCGTCAGCCACAGAGATCTTAATAAGCTTACAGAAGTCGACACAGAAGCGTAAACTACTATGCTGCTTTTTAACAAGAACAATCGGGACTCCCCACGGGCTGGTGGATGGCGAGATAATATTGGCGGCCAACATTTCATCAACCGCCAGCCGTACGTGTTCTTTTTCTGTAGAGCTCAGCCGGTAGGTGTTCTGCTGGATGGAAGCGGCATCGCCCATCTCAATGTGGTGACTCAAAAGCATAGTGCGGCCGATGTCAAATTTGCCCTTGCAAAACACATCGGAGAATTCACGCAAAAGGGCCCTCAACTCCCTCCTCTGGGACTCGGACAATTCAGAATTTTCAGAACAAAGCGTATTCATCCACTTTTCATCGGAAACCTGTTGCGGCTTCATATTCGATGTGACCCCCACACCGCCAACGATGTTTCCCTCATGAAGCGCGGGCAACGCGTGGGCTAGCACGGTGCCCTTCTGAATGACAGACGTGTCCAACCCTGCATTCAGGACCTGAATGAATGGTTCCTGGTCATTGGAGACCAGAGTCTGGGCCCCCACCAACATTAACCCACGAATGGCTTTGTTTGAGGGTACTACGAGGATTTCTCCCGCAGTCGCCTCCTGGTCAAGCGGCTTGCGCAATCGTAAAGGAACCAACATTTGCGCGTCGGGGGGAATCTTTACAGTCCTACTTGCAAGCGTTTGTACAGTAGCGTTGGCAATGCACAATCGAGTGGGAGGAAGGCAAAAAGGCCATGCAACGGCCCAATGGTAACTCAAGGCAACGTTGATCAATACAAATTTTCAGGGGCATCTTCCCCAAGAATTCAGCCCCGAGCAAGCAAGGGACAGCACACGACGTTGATACAAGAACTGGTCCCGTCAATTTGATATCTCCAATACACATCTCCGCTGTTATTTTCCCAATGATGCCCAATGAGCCGCCATTTGTGGCAAAGCACGAAACCCTGACGGGACATAGGGTACGACATTTAGGGGGCAGAATGTAAAAAATCAACTCGGAAATGATAGTCGCAGACGCACCAGTATCGACGAGCATTCTGATTTCAATCCCCTCTATCATTCCGATAACAGCGGATGCACCTGCTGTCACGGCAACCACCCTATGGGCCAACTCCGACCACTGACCCGGTCGGAGCGGCCAGTCAGCCGGAGAAAAATCTGAACCCTCATGCCCCGACACAGGATGGGAATGAAAACTGCACCTGCGTGCGTGTCGGTGTGCCTGCGTGTCTGTGTGCCTGTGTGTCTGCGTGTCTGCGTGTCTGCATGTCTGCGTGTCTGTGTGTCTGTGTGCCTGTGGGTATGTGTGTCTGCGTGTCTGCATGTCTATGTGTCTGCATGTCTGTGTGTCTGCGTGTCTGCGTGTCTGCGTGTATGTGTGTCTGCGTGTCTGTGTGTCTGCGTGTCTGTGTGTCTGCGTGTCTGCGTGTCTGTGTGCCTGTGTGCCTGTGTGTCTGCGTGTCTGTATGTCTGCGTGTCTGCGTGTCTGTATGTCTGTATGTCTGCGTGTCTGTGTGCCTGTGTGTCTGCGTGTCTGTGTGTCTGTGTGCCTGTGTGTCTGCGTGTCTGCGTGTCTGTATGTCTGCGTGTCTGTGTGTCTGTGTGCCTGTGTGTCTGCGTGTCTGTGTGTTTGCGTGTCTGTGTGTCTGCGTGTCTGTGTGTCTGTGTGCCTGTGTATCTGCGTGTCTGTATGTCTGCGTGTCTGTGTGTCTGTGTGCCTGTGTGTCTGCGTGTCTGTATGTCTGCGTGTCTGTGTGTCTGTGTGCCTGTGTGTCTGCGTGTCTGTGTGCCTGTGTGTCTGCGTGTCTGTGTGCCTGTGTGTCTGCGTGTCTGTGTGTCTGCGTGTCTGTGTGTGGGTAGCGGTAGGGGTTAGCTCGCTGCGCTACGAACCATGCGACCCGAGTTTTATTCCTTCTCACGGCCAATACCAGTGAAGATTATCTGATCTGTTCCTGGACCTCCCCTAGGTCTACTTGGCCTCAAATAACGACTCGGTGTGATGTGTAAACATCGGCACGAGGGAGACAAAGGCGGCCAGGCATGGTGATGGCCACCCACCCCCTCGTGCGCCCTGCCGGCCTTCAAAGTTGTTCGCTAAGAGCACTTGCCCCAACAGTCTGTGAAGGCTATACGGGGAATCTTTGTCTTTCGATTGCTGGTTCCGGGTAACATCCATGGCGAGTGATATCGGAGCCGTTTCTGGCGCCCACCCTCTTCAGGAAACCCGCAATGATCAGCGTGGTGAAGTATGGTCGAACAACTCCCATGACTATAACGGGATTGGAGAGGCTTTCATCTGGCAGAGCTATCATTTATTATTTTTTTTCAATGGCACAACAGCAGCCAAGGAGGGATTTCTGTATCATTTATTTAAGGCGGCACTGGAGACTCGCAGCGAAAATCGCGGGGATTTGATTCCCGTTTCGGGCAACCTTTCTGTGCGCGCGTGCGTATGTCCTCCCCAAGTTCCGCATGGGGTTCCTCCGGCTTCTCCGGTACCCTCCCATAGCTAAGTAAGCCACACAATGCAACTGCTGTTGGCCAAACATCCTCACAATGCTGAAACATTACCAGCAATTGACTCAATTGGGATCGCAGAGTAGCAGCAGCAGCAGCAAGAATATCGCCCCCCCCCCCCTCCCTGCAAGAACTTGGCAGGAGCCTCCCTAATAAAGAGTTGAGAGTCGGTGCGTCTCTCCTGGGTGAACGAGCAGAGTTGGAATAACAACAACAACCATAACAACAACAATAATAATAGTAGCGACGGCGATGGAGCGACGCACGCTCACAATTCCACTGGGAGAGAGGGATACAGGAACAACGTGGATGAGGGAACGCACCGCTCGTTCGAGACATCGTCATCCACAGCGGTGAGCCGTGAGCACGCGGGGTGCGCAGAGCGGTGGCGGCAGCGTTGGGGAGGAGGCCTTCATCCAGCAGTGGATTGAGCGTGGCCGATGATGACGATGAGGCAAGCGTTGAACAACAATTCACGATCGTTCTGATTGATTCGCCGTTCTGTTGTTAGGGTTACAAGTCAAGTAACTTCTTAGATTAATGATTCGCGTTGTCCTGGAAACGCGCAGCTTTCAGATGTCATGGCAACGCATAACTTTGAGTTGGCATGGCAACACATAACTCTGTAGCCACGCGGTTGTGCGTCTCATTCATTAGCTGTTCGCGTTGCCACTCGCAGTAGAGGTAGCTGTGCACTGTCGTGCTGTTACAGTCCTGTAGACTGTAGTGGTATCGTGCAGCGCAGGGGTTGACAACGACTTTTTTTTCGAATTCGATACAAAACTCAGTACGTGAAGAGCCGCAATGCGATGTGAATACGAGACGGTGGCAGTCCTTAATTGAATAACGTCACGGAGCAGTCCTTTGTGGAGTCGCGGGGGACCCCAGGACTGTCGCGTCTCACCCGCCCCCTTCAATTCCCAACTCAACACTAAGGTAGCAAAAATAACGCCAACAGACGATGCAATTCCTTCCCACACCCTTCTCTCCACGCAAGTACAATGTAGGCATCCCATCAGCCAGGCGGCATCCCATCAGCCAGACGGCATCCCATCAGCCAGACGGCATCCGTACTGGAAGCGCATCATCTCAGGATGCGTTGGTTCAGCACAAGAGAACTCTGGACCGGTTCCGACATTCAGTGTCTCATCAGGATAAGGGAACAACAGATCGTTAATATGGAGAGTGCACAGGAGCCCACGGCACGTTGCCCATTGCATCGTCTCCCACTGTGATCTATGATCTGTCCACTGCTGGATGAAGGCCTACCCAATCCGTGTATATGCCATTGTCATCAAAGACATACACACACGCACACACGTAGATACACAAACACACACGCGTACTCACACACACACATACACGTACTGACCCACAAAGATAAACCAAAGATCCCCCATATAGCCTTAACAGACTGTAGGGGCAAGTGCTGTTAGCGAGCACCTATGAAGGCCGGAACGGTATACGAGGGGGTGGGTGGCCAGCACCACGCCCGACCGCCTTTGTCTCCCTAGTGGCAATGTTTACACACTGCACCAGGTACTCATTTGAGGCTGAGTCGACCTAGGGGAGGCCCGGGACCGGTTCAGATAATCGTCACTGGTGTTGGCCGTGAGCGGGAATCGAACCCGGGTCGCCAGGTTCATAGCGCAGCGTAGCGCTAACCGCTACACACACACACCCACGTACTAACACACACACTCACACACGCGTAGTCACACACACACACGCGTAGTCACACACACACACACGTACTAACACACACACTCACACGCGCGTACTCACACACATACGTACTAACACACACACACGCGCGTACTCACACACACACATGCGTACTCACACACACACCCACGTACTAACACACACACTCACACACGCGTAGTCACACACACACACGCGTAGTCACACACACACACACGTACTAACACACACACTCACACGCGTAGTCACACACACACACACGTACTCACATACACACTCACACGCGTAGTCACACACACACCCACGTACTAACACACACACTCACTCACACGCGTACTAACACACACGCACACACACACGTACTAACACACACACACGTACTAACACACACACGTACTAACACACACACACACGCGTAGTCACACACTCACGCACGTACTAACACACACACACGTAGTCACACACACACACGTACTAACACACACACTCACACGCGTACTAACACACACACACGCGTAGTCACACACACGTACTAACACACACACTCACACGCGTACTGACACACACACACGTAGTCACACACACACACGCGTACTAACACACACACACACGTACTAACACACACACTCACACGTAGTCACACACACACGTACTAACACACACATACACACGTACTAAAACACACACTCACACACGTACTAACACACACACGCGTAGTCACACACACACACATGAACTAACACACACACTCACACACGTAGTCACACACACACCCGCGTACTAACACACACACACACACACGTACTAACACACACACTCACACGCGTACTAACACACACACATACACGTAGTCACACACACACCTGCGTACTCACGAGACGCGCTCCGCGAGGGTCACGATTGGACTCCCCCGTGTGGCGAGCTGAGCCGCGGGGTCGAACTTGGCTGAGTGAACTCAGGGGTTGAGATGCGTCCTCTCGTCTCACGCTCCAGCCTCTCAGCCCTCTCTCTCCTTCGCCTCTCTCCCGTGAAATCCCTCTCCTCCTCCTCGCATTCTCTTATTCACCCTCCCACTCCCGCCAGCTCCCTCCCCTCCTTCTAATCTCTCAGGGTCTCTCTCACCCCCCCCCACCTTCTCCCCCCCACTCTCTCCCCCCACAGCTCCTTGTCTCTTCTTGTTTCCCATTTCTCACCTTCATCGACGCACCTGCTGCCTGCACCTCCTCCACGTGACCCATTCTCTTGTTGCCTCGCGAACTCATTCCCCCTTCCCCCTCGCCCCACCTCTTTCCCGTGATCCCATCTCCACTCCACCCTTGCCTACACCTCTCTTGCATCTACACACATCGCTTAAACATATTCACTTCCCTCTACGTTCTCCCATCCCACGTATTCCCATTTTTTTCGCACAAGTGTATCGCTTTTTAGACATCAAAGAATGCACTGTGTCACATTGATGTTTTTTTTCCTGCTACGTATTTTTTGCTCTGATTGATATTTAGTTTTCCATGCTCTGATTTACATCGTGGGGGTTTTCTGCATTGCGATTTCGAGTCTGTTTAATCACAACTGGGTCGACGTGAGTCTTAGGATCTGTACTTGACTATTTGGGTCTCTGTGAGACTCCATGGGACGCTGCGTGAGTCTATGAGACCCCCGTGTAATCACTACGATTCGGCGTCTGAACGCGGATTGGCACCCATGACGTCAGCGGTGGTGGTTTCTGAGTCAGCAACTCGGCCACTCGGCCACCACAGACACGCGTGTGTGTTTGTGTGTGATTGTGTGTGAGTGTGTGTGAGTGAGTGTGTATGAGTGTGTGTGTTTGTGTGTGTCCGGCAAAACAATCCCCTACCTCCTCGCGGTGCCGGATGGGCAACTCTGTCGTGGACAGTGCTGTGGGGGGAGGGCCAATTTCGATTGGCTCCTCCCCTCATGGCATCTGTGTCCACCACAGGGGCTAAACGGGGGTTCTGGATGGGTGCGAGGAGCTGGTAACCCCTCCACCTTCAATTAATTACCACTAAACCGCGAATTAAGTATATAACTAAAAAGCTTGTGACGGAGGCCCCGGGGGGCCAGGTGTCTATGACGTCTCCTGGCCAAACCCCAATTGGCGGAGTCAGGAGATTGAATATCTACCCTCGAGTGTCCTCCAGAAACAACGAAAAACCACTACGGGTGGCCACGTGGAATGTTCGAACGCTCACTGCATGAGAGGAGAGGCTGCCACACCTATGTCGGGAGCTGGACCAGTACCGCCTGGATCTATGTGGCATTCAGGAGGTCCGGTGGATCGGTTCTGGCTCCTGCCACCATGAGGGGTGGACAGTCCTCTACTCGGGGCAGCAGACTGCCAAACAACAGGGTGTAGCTCTTCTTTTGAACAAAAGAATGAAGTGGGCGTGGGAGCGTGGCGGTGAGGTGTGGGAAGCTGTAAGCCCCAGGCTACTTTGAACTCGCCTTCCCATCAATCGGAGGCGAAGAATGGTGGTCGTGGTTACTTATGCCCCCACCGAAGATGAACATCCGTGGAGGGATGTAGGCAAAGCCGATGAGTCAGATGCCTTCTATGACCTCCTGTCACAGGTGCTGGCTAAAGTGGCCCCTCGGGATAGAGTCATCATGTTGGGTGACTTCAATGCCCGAGTTTGTCATGATACTGACACCTGGTCTGGAGTGATTGGAGGGCATGGGCCAGATCAGCTCAAAAACAACGGTAGGAGGCTGCTAGATTTTTGTGCAGCTCATGGGCTTGTAATTACCAACACGCTGTTGCGGCATTGGCGCATCCACACAACATCATGGATGCATGCCGGGTCCAAGCAAGAACATCTGCTGGACTACATAGTGACGGACCAGCGGATGCGAGCCCATGTCGTTGACACCAGGACCTACAGTGGAGCTGATCTGCCCTCTGACCATCGACTAGTCATCTGTAAGATGCGCCTGCCATTCTTTCACTCCAGTGGTGGGTGTACACCCAGGACCCCATTCCAACCTAAGGTGGCCTGGTCTCAGTTATCTGATGAAAGTTGCAAGCGAAAATTTCATCATCGCTTGCGGCTGGGATTGGCATCGTCCACGACTCCTCCGGATGTCGAGGGTAAATGGGCGAGGTTTATGACTGTGACTCATGCAGCTGCAATGGCTGCTTGGGGTACGCGGTCCAGACCTCCCCAGAGACCCTGGCTGACAAAGGAGGTGTTCAGGATGGTTGAGAAAAAGCGACAGGTCCACTATCATCGGCTACAGAATCCCACGTCAGAGAATGAGGAGGCATACCGCAGCCTTCGCTCAGAGGTTCGGAGAGCCGTTAGGCGCTGCAAGGATGGGTGGTGGTCGCGGGTTGCTGAGGAGATGGAGTCTGCCTCAGTGGTCCAAGATCACAAATCTCTATTTAACTCCATCAAAAAAGTAACCTGCAGCGCTACACCTATTTCCATCATTAGGGGAAAAAACGGTGATCCAATCTCCGACCCCCAGGAACAGGTTTGCAGATTTGCTGAGCATTTCTGTGAGGTCCTGGGGGAGGGAAAATCCCTCAGCCAGGAAAACATCGTGGCACAAAGTGAGGATGACCCTGCTGAGGCTGCGGTGCCTCAAATATTGGAAGACGTCACCCCCTGTGAGTGGCTGGCTGAAGTACCATCTGTTGAGGAAGTACTGAAGGTGATCCGGAGTCTGAGACCAGGAAAGGCAGCGGGCAGAGATGATCTCCCAAGCGAAATTCTGAGGGAGGGTGGCGTTTGTGCACAGACTGCCCTATATGACATCATAACAACAGTCTGGACCACTGGACGGGTTCTGCAGGATTGGAAGGATGCCCTGGTGGTCCCCCTCTTTAAGAAAGGGGACCGCACATACTGTAACAACTACAGGGGCATCTCACTCCTCAGTGTGCCAGGAAAGGTCCTGGCAAGGATTATTCAATATCGCCTTGCCAGGCACGCTGAGGAGAGGCTTGCGGAGCCCCAATGCGGTTTCAGGAAAGGGCGGTCCTGCACAGATGCCATATTTTCTGTCCGTCTGCTACAGCAGAGGTGTAGGGAATTCCAACAAGACCTACATCTCTGCTTTATTGACCTGGTCAAGGCCTATGATACCATCAGTAGGCCTGGGCTCTGGGTTGTGCTTTTGGAGTACCTGACCCTCTGCTCACGATCATTAAGGACCTTCATGGTGGTGAGCGGGCCCGAGTAAAACTACGTGGCCGGGAGTCAGAGCCATTCCCTGTACACCTTGGGGTGCGACAGGGATGTCCTCTGGCTCCCACATTATTTAATATCAATTTTGACCACGTAGTTCGTGAAGCCTTCAATAGCTGTACCGGGGGAATCTCCATATGGTACAGATATAATGGGAGGCTGATCGATGCCCGGGTGCGGTCAAGGGATGGCTCCCTATTGCTCAACCACGTTATGTATGCTGATGATTTGGTAATAGCTGCTCATTCAGAGGAGGAGTTGGAGACGCTGCTGCTGAGACTGGAGCGTGCCACTAAGAGGTGGGGCCTTACCATCAGCCCCACCAAAACTAAGCACCTGCCTGGGTATTTTGTACCATCAGACACTCCACCCCCACAACTCCCAATCGGTGATGGGGCAGTTGTGGAAAGAGTGGAGAGTTTCCCATACCTGGGCAGTGTGCTTATGACCGGCTCCAGTTTAACAGCAGAGGTCTCACTCCGAATCAGTCGAGCTGCAATATCTTTCCATCGGTTGCGTAACGCTGTGTGGAAGCTACCTGGTTTGTCGCTCCGCACTAAGCTTCAGGTCTTCTCGGCCACGGTCATTCCCTCCCTTCTCTACGCTTGCAAAACGTGGACCCCCCTAATGGAGCATCTTCGCCGGTTAGAAACATTTAGGCTGGCCTGCCTACGATCCATCCTGGGTTTAACCAGACTGGATTGTGTGAGGAGCTCACAAATCCTTGAAAGATCTGGGCAAGGTCCCATCGGTGAGCTCCTCTAGCGGGCAAGGCTGCGATGGCTGGGTCATGTCGCCCACATGCCCAGCCACCGCATGCCGAAACAGCTTTTGTTCGGCCGGATTGAGGGGGATAAGCGGGCACGGCACGGGCTAGAGAAGAGATGGAGTGATGTGGTACAGGAGAACGTGGAGCTGAGTGGACTTGCCGATGACTGGTACCAGCGGTGTCAAGATCGGAGCGCCGGGTGGCTAAAGCACAGCAGATTGGCACAGTAGAGGGCACAGGTGGTGCATCAGCCAGTCATCTCAGTCATCTTAGTCAGTCGACCCGTGGCACTTGGGTCTGCCGCGTGACCTCCTGCCAGCGGGCGTTCGACACTTCACGTGGACTCAAGGTGCACATGGCCTGGCACAAGTGTCGTGGTGACGTCACTACCACTTAGTGGCGAATGGCGGTTGTTGTTGTGTGTGTATCTGTCCGTGTGTGTGTGTGTATCCGTGTGTATGTGTATCTGTCCGTGTGTGTGTGTATCCGTGTGTGTGTATCTGTCCGTGTGTGTATCCGTGTGTATGTGTATCTGTCCGTGTGTGTGTATCCGCGTGTATGTGTGTATCTGCCCGTGTGTGTATCCGTGTATATGTGTGTCTATTCGTGTGTGTGTGTATCCGTGTGTGTATCCGTGTGTGTGTATCTGTCCGTGTGTGTGTACGGGAGTGGTGGTGTAGCGGTTCGCGCGCTGTGCTACGAACCTGGCGACCCGAGTTCGAATCCCTGCTCAAGGCCAACACCACCAGTGACGATTATCTGAACCGGTCCTGGGCCTCCCTTAGGTCGACTCAGCCTCAAATGAGTACCTAGTGCGATGTGTAAACATCGCCACTAGGGAGGCAAAGGCGGCCGGGCGTGGAGTTGGCCGCCCACCCCCAAGTGTGCCGTGCCGGCCTTTATAGGTGCTCGCTAACAGCACTTGCCCCTACAGTCTGTTACAGGCTACACGGGGGATCTTTGTCTTTGTATGTGTCTGACGAACCCGGCTACCCCAGTTCGAGTCCCTGCTCATGACCAACAACAGTGGCGAATATCTGAATCGGTCCTAGGCCTCCTCGAGG